TCAGACTAAGACATGAGCCGATAGCAACACGGAGGAATGAATCCCGAAGCGACGAGCACTGATGTATTAAGCCGCGTATTTCCTGGGCTGTCGGTGAGGCGAAGTTACAGCGCGTGCGCAGTGCCGACAGCAGCGCCGCCACGGTGGGGTTACGTCAAGAGTTGAACCTGCGCCTTTCCTCCTCTAACGGCATCGCATTTGGCAGGGTCCAGGCGGTCAGTGTTGTACTACAAGTGCCTCCGAGACGGGAAGGAAAGCTCGTTCCTCGGCCCTTTTCGATCTTGGAGCGAGCTCCGTTGCTAGTTCCCTTGGTTCCACAGGAACTAGTTTCGCTTCTATCGAGATGGAAACGTGTCGTTGCGTTAACGTTACAATTGGGCATATTTTAATGAATAATAATACCGCATATTAAATTAAAGCGAGCGAGTGAAAGTGTTCACATGCGTATTGCGTCGCCACATTCATGTTTGTTTCAGATGGCTCTCTCACGGACACTTAATTCCCTCGTTGTTGAAGTCGAAGATTGAAATGGTCGATAATAAAAAATATTTAAAAAAAGCCTAAATGAATTCGGGTAAAATCGAAAATATTTTTTTTTTCAACTACTGATTTCTTTTTTTTTAAGCGTAAAGAGTTGCAGTTTTCCCAATGCAAGACGGAACGCAAGTCTCTCCGGGAGCGTCGTTCCTTGGAACGTCATTCCTTACAGCATAGAAACGCTTCACGCAACGTCCCCCATCTTGGCGTTCGCGTCGACGCGAGTGAAACTTGCAGCGCCTCCCACCAAACGCGACGCTATACAGGCTTTCGCACCCGTGCCAGGTTGCAGCCGCCATCGCTGACCTTTTCCTGTCTTTCGCCCAGATGGCGAGTAAGTGAAGCGCGCGTTGCCGAGTTTCCACAAAGGCCAGTGCTGGACAGAAGGACACGGTTGAATTCGAAATGGCAATAACCTGCCTGCTTTCATCACAATGAGGGAAAGTAAAGTTTATAAGAGGAAACGAAAATGGAAGGTCGCTTATAGGGGCGTCCACGCACAGTTGCTGCGAAGCTACTAAGACAAAATTAAAAAAAGTGAAATATAAAAGATTTTTTTGTAATTTAAATCGGGTTCATGCGAATGAAAGCGGATTAATTGATTGAAATCGCTAGCTAGAAAATAGTTAGTCTTTAGCGCTAGAAGTATTTTTGTCAACGTAGCAGGTTACTCCTTAATAGGGACACCTCCGTTCCCGTAAAAAATCGACCATTATTTGAGTTGTCCATATTAACGAGACAGAAATGCATGCACTTCCCTAATTTGTCCTGCAAAGTGCTATCCATATAGCGGGGTACCCATATTAACGGAGTCCACATTACCGAGACATGACTCTATAATGCGTAAGAAACAACTTGTTGATGTGAAGCCTGCATTAACGTTTTTTTTTTTTCTTGTTTTTTTTGTCGAATGCCCACCTTTAAAAAACGAAAACAGTCCGATTTAACTATTTCCGTAACGTGCCCGTCCAAATCGATCAAACGTGATGGACGGTTTGCAAGCCCCGTTGCATAACGTCCAATGCGTTTGTGTACGAATTGCCGCATCTAGTCGTTAGAATAGATACACGAATTTCAGTTATTGCTCTTCTTTTCCTTTTTGTTCTACGAGATAGCGATTTCTCGTAACCAAACACACAGCCCAAGAAGATCGCTCCCCTCTGCGAACATGGCGTCTTCATCGCGTTGTGCGTCTCTTTGGAAGCTTTCAAATGCTCCCAAGTGCGTCGGCGGGAGACGATGTGGGGAACATCGGATTTTGGTTCCGACGGCGACGATTTGTTCACTATTCCGGAATGTCAAAGTGCGTGTCAGAAGGGCTTGTTTTCGTTTCGGCTTTGGTTTTCATGTACTTCGCCGTTTTCGCGTGAAGTCCGGGCTGTTTGTGCGTGTTGACAATCCATCTGATGGATCGATCACTGGTTCACTTGCTTAAATCTATGCATAACCTTGCTTCGGTATTTGACATTTCTTCTTACAATTGCAGGTGTTTTGGTGGGAGCTAACATTTCGCTGTTTTACTGCCACCCATAATGCGAATGATCCTTCAGCTACTCAGGGACGTATAAATATCGAGTCATGTCAACATTGCCCCAATTAAAATGTAAATATCCGGTTCCGGGTCAGGTCATACATATGGCTTTTTCCAAATCATGCCGAGGACAAATTCTTGGCTGACCGAAGGGCAAGATCTCACAAGTAATTCTTTGAATAATGCTTCTTTTTTTTTAATAAGGTTAGTTACGTTTATTAAGAAGTCATTAAGGTGGCGGGCTGCCGAATGAGGTGCGTATTCGCCCTCGTTTTCTGTGCATTTCAGTTTCAACAAAAATAGCTCAGAGGACGTTTTTCTCCAGCGCCTAATATTTTACGAGCATAACACGAAAAGTGTGTTTTTAGCTCGCAGTTGGGAATAAGTTGCAACATGGGGCTGATACTACCGATGTGCCAGTTTTTAATCTCCTCTCCTTTTAACAATTGCCGGAGTACCGTGAGCGGGACGGGCATTTCGGAATAAGTGGGACATTGTTCGAGAGTCGTCCATAATGCCTGCAGTCCCCCCCCCTCCCCCCCCCCCCCCAAAAAAAAAAAAAAAAAAAAAAACAACCATCGTGGTTTTCTGCATTGTTTAAAGACTCCTTATATGCTGGAAACAAAATTTTAAAAAAAAAACCTAGAGGTTGAGTACGCATTTGCAGACCTGGCGCGGCCACAATTTCCATTTTGGAAACGATAGAAATAACTTCGCCGTCAGAAATATCAACCGTGCAACTGTCACAACAGCGGCCATTGTGGCGGTGCTTGTCTCTGAGCGTGTACCTTATGCAGCATGCCTTTCCCGTCGCAGAATATTATGCTACAAGTAAGAATAGCAAGAAACAGGTGCAATGGTTGTATTGTGTGCGAGATAGGACATTTTATTTTAAAAAAAAAAACAGCATCTGCCATGGGGTCACATTAAACGGTGTCTTCTATACGCGAGTTTTCCCAACAAAGCATTCAGCTGGGCTGGACTCCCGCGATGTGTCTTTGTCCTCACTGCAAACATTTTTGAGATGGAACATGTACCTTTTTTTCAAAAGGGCGCCGCCGTCTTGAATTGTCGTCAATTCCAGTACGGGCGAAGACATTGTTTTGCTGTCGCCACGCCAATAAAAGACATTTAAGATATAAGCGTAACACTGTAACATTCACACAACCTCGTCTTGCCTCCACTTTTTTTTTTTTTTTACTATTTACAGGTTGTAACATTTTATTATATTTTCGTCGGCCATACCGGGTGCGCCTATTAGGTGGGTGCACGGGGTCGAGAGTACTCGAAAAAGGTCTATAGTTGCTGAATTAAAATATAAAGTCAAATATATAAACAATTCTGTCCCAATAATTATTCTATAGTCGTAACATTTCTGCTCGTTAAAGCCTTAATAATTTTTTTATATGCAAAGCCAAATTTTTTTATTTTTGTATTCCCTGCATGCCACGCAAGGTCGGCGGGGTGCTGGTCGCACCGACAGAAATTGAGTGGTTGCCGGATTTAGATGAAACCATTTAACTGTTGCGGTTTGAATAATTCGGTCGTCGGTCGGGCATCAATTTTATTTCGTCGCAGAGTCACTTCATGTGAAGCGATCTCGGGACGGTTAATCTTCAGTTTGGGTTGCGTTTGCTCCGCAGGTTTCGTTTTCACTGAAGACTTGGCGGCCTGGAGTACCTTTTAGTCTGTGCCGAAATCGAATATGACGTGCGTCCATTCCGATAATGATGCTAGATTAAATGTTGTAAATTTGGGGAAAGGGAAGAGTGACAAGAGCGACAAAACTTGTTAAGCAGTACCACGTGATGAATGCACGCCACCTACTCACATCTGACGCTCGTCATATAATATATCAATTGTTATTCGAATCGGAGATTAGGAAACTTCGATAACTGTCCTGCAGACTTGGTGGCGGCTGTCCTTGGGTCTATCGCCCGACTCGCTATTACTATTACAGCGATGTCTCGTTAATATGGACGCCTCCGTTCTCCCAAACAAATATCGTCCAAATGTGAGTTGTCCCTATGAACGGGACAAAAATGCGTGTATTTTCCCATTTTGTCCCCGAATACGGTGTTCATATAGCGGGGTGTCCATATAACGGGATCCATATTAAGGATTCATGACTATAATTGTGGGGTTGTTTTTTAGCCGTTCCTGTGACTTAACTGTATTTGATAGTTTGATATTGGAAGACTATTTTCAGCAAAATGTTCCTTAGTCCTCGCGCACACACAGGTTTCTTTAAGTGTTCATAATCAATTTAATCTCAATCAACATCGACTTCGTCGTCCTTTGAATTTCGATGTAAAGCAGTAACCTCCATTTGGTGTTCATAACTACTTTCATATGTGCACATAATGTTCAAGTTCGATATCTACACTGCTTACTGTGCCCTCTCCCCCCCCCCCCCCCCTCTTCCCTCTTTTCTGTGAAACGTATAGACAATACATCGCATTCGCAGCACAGTTTAGACAAGCACAAACGTTTTCGTGGCGGACACCAGCTGAGCGAGACAAATTGCCTGGGTATTTTGTATTTACTTAGGAAAAACAAACTTGCATCGCTGAAATGTTAGAGCAGAAACCGCCAAGAAGCAAAGCATTAACCCAATTGTTAAAAGTTGAGTTAGATATGCAGTAAAAACGGTCTGCAGAAAAAGACAAAGTATAGTTGCATATATAGCATAAATATGCATTAACAGCATAAATAGATTTATTTTTTTTTGTAAATTGCAGCAAATGATAGAGTGCCTGTGTTATGCTCGCGACAACTGTACCGCGAAGAGCACTTTCAAGCCCTCAGGATAGTAAAATTAATAGAAGTAATCAAACAAGGGGCTCTTAATTTTTGCTTTTGTTTGTGATTTTCTTCTCCGAGAAGGAATGTCTCAGCGTGCCTTACGTCCATGTTCTGTTGCTCTGCGCAGGCTGATGTCGACAAGGCCGTGGCAGCGGCCAAGGCAGCTTTCACCCTCACCTCCAAGTGGCGTACCATCGATGCATCGGAGAGGGCCCTCTACCTTCACAAGCTCGCAGACCTCATCGAACGGGACAGGGACTACATAGCGGTGAGCACGGTTATTCACACCGAGATACGAATGGTATCAAACTAGTGAAACAACCGCCTATGGTCAATGAAACGATGAAAACGGCATGGCATCTCCTTTAGATGCCTGGCCACCTGCATGCGCTCGATGCCCTCCGCCATGCTTTGACCGCGGGTGTTCGCTGGAACCTGCCGAAACGCCGATGTGTTATCGAAGGCGTAAGAAGCCTGCATTGGAGGCGGGACAGGTCAAGGCTTCTTGACCAATCTAATGCTGTTCTCAATCTCACCTAAATTTGAGCTCTCTATCCTCGTTAAAGAGGCCATGAAATGTCCTACTTTTGTCAAATAACTTTCACATTAAGCCTTCATTGCTCACTGAGCGCAAAACAGGCATCCGTTTTCGTTTCGGTTTATTACTTTATACGCGAACCATTATTGAAATGTCGAGTTTCTCTTCCTCTCCAACTCGCCGCAAAACAGGCCGCGGCGTAATTTTGATGGCCGCGACGTACTATGGCACTGGGCAATAGGAGAATGGGAGCCTTAACGGCAAGTTGGAGGTGTGCCGGTAGGTTTTATCACAGGGTTTTACTGCGCTGATGGCGCGGATGCCACCAACATATTTTCTGAATCGGCGCCTCTCATCACCGCGATAGCCACGGACAGATCGCAGCTGAGCGAACATCATTTAGATATGTCGCGCTACAGCGATAGCATGGGACTGGCTTCATACGCTGGTGCGAAGCGCAGCAGGTCGTCAGCACGATAGCCGCTTCTCCGCCGCCGTAAGCCGTTTTCGCGGTGTCTCTAAAAAGGGGACGCGCTGTCCCTCACTGGCAAAGCAAAAGATGCAGAGTTTTCTATGGGCTCAAGCTTTTTTAGCTTTTAATTTTTCAGGATAGGCTCGCAGGGCAGAATGGGTGGAAAAGAAAAAGATGGCGTACGCAGTCTTGGACGATCACGACTTTAAAGGAAATGCTCACACTAATCACTTTTCTCGGGTAATGAAATCGCGTCGAAATTCGCATCCTTCATACACACCTTTAAATACGGTACGCACCAGTAATATCTTGAACTTGATCACACGCATGGAAGGCGCGAAATAAGTAATCCGAGCAATGTTCGAGAAGATAAACGCTGAGAAAGCACCACTGTAGTCGAAGTACACAAAGACGACGGCACGAGCGTTTCTGCTGTCTTGAACGTGCCGCTACAACATCACCGCACGAGTAGATGGATCTTCCCTTTAGGACGTGCTAGGTTATCATAGGACGTTCCGCGGTTCTCCTGAACCAAAATTAATATTGTTATTATCATCGCTATACGCGACCGGTCAAGGACAGCGCTCTACGCGGAACGATGAGCTTCCACCCCGTCGATCATCATCACCACCGACGCCATGTTTTTCAGCTGACAAGCGGCTATGCGCAGGCGCAGTCTGATGTTCTCTTGCTTTGTTTACGCCACGATAGACGGCGCATAGCTCCGAGCAAGCACTATAGCATTCGGCAATTTCCGTCACATCGCTAATAATTCAGCGAATTCTGGATCAGAATATTTTTAACAACTTTTAAGAAACATTCTCCGGCAATTTATTGTCTAGGATCGCGGTGTTGGTGAGGTCGGCTCTTACTTAATAGGCGACGTGGATTTGGCTGACGTGCGGTGGCACCGCGGATGCATCGAAGTAAAATGTCAGAAAGCTTTCTAAAATAAGGTATAACTGCTCATTCATACTGGAAGCAGATCCGCGTTCGCAGAGCGATTCCGAATGCGGTTGTATAAAAATCCAGTACAATTGCACGCGCACTGGATGTCATCGAGTGCGCGTGCAATTGTACTGGATCTTTTGGCAACCGCGTTCGCAACCGCTTTGCGAACGCGGATCTGCTTCCAGTGGGAATAAGCGGTTACCGCAGACCGGTTTTTTTTTAAGTTTTGTCGCGAATTTATTTTTACACAGTTTTTGTGTTCTGGTTGTTTTGTTTTACGCCTTTTACGACGTGCGGTAGACGAAATTCGATTTCAAATTCGTTTCATGGTCCCTTTAAAAAGGTGGGAGGAGCTTGTTTACGGCGCTTACTTTGGACTGTTGGATATGTGTTGTAAAGATGTTTTAATTATTTGAAACCTGCACTATGCGCCAAATGACTTCACGGTAATTTATGGCCAATAGATGGGCCTTTGTATTTTGGCACAATTCGAAGAGAGAAGGAGCAGAGCTATACAGTATCTCTGAATAGCATCGCTTCGAAGCTGACGTTTTCTCCCAAGTATCTCCGACAAAAACAAATTGTTAGAATTTATTTTATATCCTCCAGTTAGTTTGATTAGTTTCTATTTAGTTCTCGCTTGTTTTAGAGTGCTAGACGAGGACGCGTCAGGGGGGCACCGCGTGATTTTTACCGGATAAGCATTTGTACATATCAGCACCGGCAATTTCGGCGGCTTTTTGAGCTCTTTATCTTCACTAAGCATCAAAATGCTTAGTGAAGCATTTTGATGCTTCACTAAGAATTTTGTGCTTAGCGAAGCATCAAATGGCGGAGCCCACATAAAAATCTGGATTAAAATGTCGATTCTCTTTTTTTTTGTTTTTTTCCTTACCCGTAGTTCAGGTTCAACTGTCGTTTCTTTTTTTTTTTTTTTTTTTTTTTTTTTCCTCACGAGTTCTAATGTCCCGCAGAGTTTGGAGACTCTCAACAACGGCAAGCCTTACAAGTACGCCCAGGCCGACATCGACACCGCCATCAAGAATCTTCGATACTACGCTGGCTACGCCGACAAAATGTGCGGCAAGACCATTCCCTGCGGTGAGTGGCAATCTTTGCCGATTACGCGTATACCGAGGACGTGTTTTAGTGCGTCTCAAGCCTCATTCACGTCGTGCGATTTCACTTGCGGTTTCGCAGTTGCGACGAAGCTCGTGCAGGAAAGAAAAGCCTGGGGGAATCTGCGGTGTCCGAGGTCGAAGCTGCGAATTAGCAAGCAACCATGTGAATCGGGCAAAAACATTCTTCGCACTTTTTTTTTAATTGTTTTCCGTTTTTTGTAATGTATACGTATCTGTATGCATGTCAACGAGGTGAAGGGGCTTAGAGCGATACATTGGCAGCTGAAAGTGGCCCTCACACGGCCGCTTCCATGTTGCACATTTGTGACCACTAGGCACGTGACCTTATTGTTTTACGTCCAGATTTAACGGAGTACCGGGCACCGATAATTTTGAGATAAGTTACGTTTCGTCTGTTTTATGTCCAAAATGTGCTTTTACGACAAACTCTGGCAGCTTCGCAATGGATGTTGTCAGCCGCGGTGCTGTATTTTGGGTTTTTATCGGAACCAGACACTGATCTGATGGGGCTGACAGTATAGTTTATCATGTTCTTACAGCGATCGGAATACCAATCTCAGCTCAGTTTTGCGTAAAAGCCTCAGGATTTGGTATGGTTATGTGTCTAGTGGTCAGAATTGTTCAACATGGCGGCAGCCAAGCAGCAGTCACTTCCGTCTGGTGAACGAGATACCAGTTTATTGCTCTAATACCAAATTCACACGGCAGCTTAAAGCTACCTTTAGCTTAGGTTCCTTAACTGATGGTAGCTGTAATAAACGGCGTTCGGAATCGCATGATAAATAAACGGAGCACTCTGAGTTGATATCGATTGCATTCCTGCTAAACCGCGAGGGGAGCACGTCAGGAAGAACTATTCCTCGAAATCGGTTTGACGCGGAGCTTTTGATTATCGTGTGGGAAATATCACATTTAATACCTAAACATTATTCGTGTTTGCTTTTGCTGCACTTTATTTATTTTTGTTCTAAGTCTAAGGGCGCTCCTAAATGAGTATCTTTCAAAACGTCCGACCCCTCTGGCCACACTTTCCCTAAAACATCTGCGTTTGCGAGTTTCTATTTCGAGGTGGGCGACTTTTTTTCTGTTTAGCAGCTTCATATTTCCGCAAAGTTCTCACTGAAGTAGCTAAATAGTGCCCGGCAGAAACGAACCATGTCGGAGTCTCGCGGTTGCGCCAGTCACGCCATCGAAAGGGGTGGACGACGACGAGGATAAAAGGTCCTGGGCGGGAAAATCGGACGACTCGTCTACAACCGCGAAAAAGAGCTCGCAGTGGCCCATCGCGGTCGGGTTCGTAGCAGACATTGTTTTCCACGTGCCGCCACTGCTACCTCCTAGCTGGAGTATGCGTTCCTCGTTAATGTATTATTCCATCGCATATGTGTTCCCAATCATTTTATTATTTGCTACTTATATGCAGAGTGTTTTACGAAACGTGGACATATCCGATATTGCAAAAACTCGTCGTTGCAAAAACGCGTCGCAACAAAAAAAAAAAAAAAGGCTCGTGTCGTTTTGATTCTGTGCCAGGGGCGGAAATCAAGCAGGCCGGTAGCATAGCAGGTATCGGCTTTGTCGTGTGTTCGCTCTGCTTTCTTTGTGTTCTGAAGTCGCAGTGGTAAGAGAAATCATTGAGCCACTTCCTGCAGGATGCACAGGGTATTTGAGCTGGCACGAGCGTACGTCGGAACGCGACCCCACTATTCCCCGCGCGGTTCATTTTGGGATTGACGAGAGACCTTGCGGAATTTTCTGCAAAGCTGCATTGAACGTCTTCTGCTGCTTTCAGATGGCGACCTCTTCACTTACACCCGAATGGAGCCGGTGGGCGTGTGCGGACAGATCTTGCCGGTGAGAACCCCTTTTGCACATGCGCACCCGGAATGCTAGCATGCGTACATCATCCTTGTCCAGGGGGGGCTATGTTTTTTTGTTTTGTTTTTTTATTTACAGAAAAAACCTGCTTCGCCGTGAGGCATTATTGCAGGGGGTGGGTTTGATACAAACACTTTTGTTTTAGAATATAAGTAATACACAAAAAAACAAACAAAAAGCAAAACACTTTCTATGGATCAATAATGAAATTAAATAAAAACATACTGTCTATAAAAACACTACACAATTGAAAATTCAAAAAAACAAATTTGCCGCAAGCACATCCTTCGGCAACCTATTCCACTCTTCAATGGTTTTCGGAAAGAAGGAAAAAGCAAAGGTGTCGGTACGGCAAGAGTATGGTCTAATCTTCTTGGGGTGATCTGCTCTTTCGGACACATAAAACGGTTCGTGTAAAAACACACCTCTGTTAATTAATAGTCTATTGTTGTAGATATCATCTAAAAATTTCATCCTAAACAATTTTCTACGCTCACTGAGTTTCTCCCAATGTAGGGCCTCTTCCAAGTCTCCTGGGAGTGCAAAAAGCGCAACATAGCACCCCAGTTATACATCCAGGATTCCCATTCAAAAAACTAAATGAACAGCAGATTTAAAGATCAGCTAACGGCGGGTATGGGGCGAAAATGCTAATCGCACAATTTCAGATCACCAGTCAGTGTTCCTTCAGCAAAAAAAAAAAAAAATAGAACAGAAAATAAGTCATTTTTGTGCTGCTCACAGTGAGTTAAGCCTCATTCACACACTTGCCTTTGAGTGCAATCGAGTCCCTTGTGATCACTTGCGACGATGTAACGCAATAAGCGAACAAAGAACGCGCTGGGCTGTAGTTATTGCAATATTTGCGAGATCCAATATATTACTATCTATGCAACCGTCCCTTATAAGTCCGTCATAAGATTCTTATACACACGGTGAAAGTGTGCGCAAATAATTAGGTGATATGCGCGAAACGGAAGTGTTCCAGTCCCACTGGATATTATGACACCATTGTGTTCTCACTCAAACTGGAGTGTGTGAAGTCTGTGAAACTGGAGTGCCTTTACAGCTAAACGGTATTGCTTGCTGGTCTCGGGTCATAAAATCGTTTACTACTTCCAAAAATTTCTAGATGCAACACTGTGCGCGTTGCATTATTGGACCTGGTTGGCCATGAAGAAGATTGGCATGGTTTCGGTTTCGATCGCCCATTAATGAAGTAGTACATCCGAGCACTGCATAAAAATAAAAGTCTGTGCTCGCTCGCATCGCGCCCATCCATTTTCGTGAGAGCCCCTGTTGAAATACGGACCTCCAGCGGCATTAGGCGCCTGTCTAGGCTTAGCGAGAAATCGCTGTACTGCCTGCCGCGTCCCATACCTGTCTGCCTGCCCGGCTACCACTCCAGGGTCCAGCACGACCCTCCGGGCTCGCGAAAAATTTACGACACCTCGGACATTGAGAAGCCGATGGATCAGAATGACCAGCCCAGTATACTTCTCCCCAGTGCCACCTTCGTCCCGTGTGTATACCTGCGTACAGACTCCGGCTCGTCGGGAGCCCAACGTGCCCCAGCACTTTATCCGTAGCGGTAGGCAACGCCTACGGTACTATGCATCTAAGGACAGTCGAATATTTGAGAAGTGCAAGCACTGTATTTGGTCTTTACGTGACGTCGTGAAGTGAGGTTGGCCGATCTAAACCGAAACTTAGTGGCCAATAGGCCCGTAGTTCTCAAGTTTTGAGCAGCGCTCCAGGCGAGCAAAATAGAATATTTCGCTCGGGTTTCGAACATGCGTCAATACGCTTCCCCACCAGAGTTTTTTTTTCTACTCCGTTCCAATCTAAGTGCCAGCGTAGCAGAGGCTACAGGAGCGAGCTGCGAGCTTCCAGCGTCCCTAAAAAGCTCGCGCGCTCGTGCAGTTCCAGCATCTTTCAGGAGGACGTGCTTTTGCGAGTAGCTTCGGCTTCGCTATCACGTAAAGTGAAACGTACGTGCTCGCGGAAGCTATGAAAGAAGGCAAAGATGAAAGGAATGTTTAATGGGACGCTGCGGCCGCGAGCTGCATAATTCTTTTTTTTTTTTTTTTTTGTTTGAGGTTTTGTTATTGCGCATCTTCAGATGCTTTCATTCGAACGTGGCACGTGCAAAATCGAATGTTACAGCCACCTGGATGGTTCAACCATCATAGCATGGTCGCGTCTTCCGGATGCGCTCGCGCCCCCTGCCCCAGAGCAACGGGTCTATGGGCTCTCAAGTTGCTTTGCGTTGCATTACGCTGCTAAAATCACTTCCGAGTTTGCAAGAGGTCTATTAATCTAGTTCCACTCACGAATGAATGCTGAACCACATGCTGTGGCCTACTTCCAAGCTGCTGGTGCATAATTAAAGTTAGACTTCATTTCTTACGCAAGTGTGCAGTTAAATAAAAGCAAGCTGTTAACTTATCTGGTATATTTAGTGGTGCGCAAGTTGCACTTCTCCTTGCGCACCTCGTGCGTTTGCTTACCCCCTAAATGCGCACCCGTGCTTTCTGGAACTTTTATTGCGTGGGTTGAAAAACGAACGCGTGTTTCATAGGTCATTTACGTCAGGGATCCGTTCCAAGCGGTATTTGCGTAAAGTGCAAAAATTGTTGCATCGCCCCTTTAAGAGTGCAATGAGGATATTAGACATGATGTGGTTCCATCCTGGCGCGCAGTGGAACTTCCCGGTGGTCCTGATCGCGATGAAGATCGCCCCCGCCCTGGCGGCCGGCTGCGTGTGCATAGTGAAGCCCGCCGAACAGACTCCCTTGACGGCCCTGTACGTCGCGAGCCTGGTCAAGGAAGCCGGCATCCCGCCGGGCGTGGTCAACGTGGTCCCGGGCTACGGACCCACGGCCGGGGCGGCCATCGCCGAGCACCCCGAAATCAACAAGGTCTCCTTCACCGGATCCACGGAGGTGCGTACGTCTTCTGGCGGCCGTTGCGCACTTGAAACTCGCTCCCATGTCGGGGTCACACTGCAAACACGAGTCATCGCAATATCTATGGTTCAAATGCCGCGTGCCAAGTTTTCTTCAACTCATTTCCATGCGGCATTCGAAGCTCGGATTTCGAGTTGACCCGCGTTTGAATCTGTATGCAGACTGTCTTTTGTATGGTGTATAAGCAGTGCCCCCGCTTTAAAGATGCATTGGATTTCGCATTCCTGCAGAACAGGAAAAACGAATCACGACGGCAAAGATTACTAACTTTTATCCTCCAGATCGGACTTTTCCAGTCCAGCAGGAAACAGTGGGGCGTAACTGGTTAATAATAAAAATAAAAATAATATTAATAATAATAATAATAATAGTGATAACGACTATGGTAATTATAATAATTTATTTGTCTCGTACCTCAGACCAACAATCGGTCACAGTATGCACATAGAAGGCCACGCCAAGACTCCAAATACTAACGCATCGCAATTCGACATACAAAACGCGATTTGAAAAGATGTATACGACGTGCTCTTCTTGAACAAAACAAATACTCTGAGAGCGCACCATCATGAGGCGTCAGGTTATTTAAGCAAACCTTCGTTCTTTTGTTTTGTTTTGTTTTTTTCACTGGTTATAGTTTAGGCTCAATAAACGGTGAAAATATGCACCAGCCTCTGAACACTGGAGCCCGCGCGGGAATCTACAATGGTTCAGCATATCACAACCTAGGTGGCCGTGAACTACTTTGTGCCAAAATAATTTGCTCGTGGCGATAGACCACGCCACACTGTAAGCACGGGGTATAACTTTTTAGTAATCCTATCGTTTTATCCTTCAGGTCGGGAAGCTCATTCAGGAAGCCGCAGGAAGGTGCAACACAAAGCGTGTTAACCTGGAGCTCGGCGGCAAGAGCCCCCTGGTGATCTTCCCAGACGCCGACTGTGAGTTCCGGTTTTGTAACGCCCGAGTAACACTATACACCGCTCACCCTTCAGCCGAAATTGCAGCTCGAAGCTACAAGCACGAGCTAGCTGGCGCTCCTGGCTTTGAAAAGTGCATTTCTTGCGCGGAGTGCTCGGTCTGTGGGAGAACGCCTCAAAGCAGCGGGCTTGTGCACTCGTGATTGTGGCAGTGATGGCATTCTTGGCTTAAGAAACACAAACAACCGACAACGACCAACTTTAAGCATCTGCAGCATGCACGCGAAGGTACCTTTAGCAGGATTTAAGCCTCTCTGCGCTTGTGAAGTAAGTACGAGTGTATTTCCTGCCACCGGTATCATCGCGTGCTTGAGACTTGTTCTTGTTTGTTTCTCTTTGCCGCTGTAGTGGGACTAGGGCATAACGTCAGTCCCACTAGAGTGAGACACTGAAACATGCACTGGCAAGCCTCAAGCACATCTTTGGGTGTGCATGAAGTAAGCACGAGTTATTACAAGCTTGTCAAATGTACCTTCAAGTGTATACTGCGCGTGCACGAGGCTTGTCGGTGTGGGTTGTTTTTGTTGTTGCTGTAGTGGGGACTCGGGCATAAGAGCGCATCAGAACAGGCCAATTAACCATAACTTAAGTCGCATCCACTTGGCTACAAGTTGATGCGACTTACATCAATCAGCCTAATATATCTTAGCGGAAGATAGTGACTCCCGGCATTGCCGCTAACCTCTCGAAGACAAGTTCCCGAAACATGCTACACTGGATTGACGCTATTATTAACTCAGCGAAGATATACGAGTAGTGAGGATCCTTGAACGACGTACACTGCGCATAACATAGCGCTAAAGAACCATATTAACTTTCAGAACCATTTAAATCGGCCGGCCTTATTTTTGTCTTTAATTACACGAAAACATTGAAAAGGTTACGGCCTTGCTTTATGGTGAAACGACTTTTCTTACAAGAAACTAAGAACGACTTGTTGCTACAAGTTTATTGTCAGAAGCCCTTTTCATCAAAGGATTTGAAGTCGCTCTGGTTTCACCCTTGCCTCTGTTATCTGCAGTGGACGAAGCTGCCAGCATTGCACATCTGGGCTTGTTCTTCAACATGGGCCAGTGCTGCGTGGCTGCTAGTCGGCTGTACGTACACGAAGACATCCACGACAAATTTGTGGCCAAGGCCAAAGCGCTCGCGGCTGAGAGGAGGACCCAGGTGGGGAACCCCTTCGACGACAAGACTGAACAAGGACCACAGGTGAGAACTTGCGACGCACCAGCTTAAACCCGTCACGTTACAAAACACTTCGTTTCAAACGTACCTCCAGAGAAGTCGTCTATCCTATTCGGAAACCATAGGCGCATCTATAAGTAAACTCGGAATAGTTATTGTGAAATCGACAAGTGAAAATGATTCCAAAACTAACATTCGATTATACCCGCGCTTTTCAGTGCCGTGACGCCGAGGGAAGGCAGGCTTGCAGGTCGAGCGAAGAATCTAAACGTGGACTATGCTGAGCATTTGTTTCGTGCTGTCTCGCGGGTGCAGGAGCGAGCTTCCGAAGCATTCCATGGGTTGGCAGCGTTTGGCAACCCGGTTCCTTGGAAAATTTTATTCAGCTGTAACACGACGACGATGATTTCCGAGCCTGTCTAAGCACGGTTCTGAAAACTAGTCTGGGGGTTTCACAACCATGCTTGCACAGGCTCGCAGCTCATCTTCGTCGCTTGTCAACAGTAAGAGAATTTCCTAAGAAACCGGAAGTTGCCGAATTCCACTCACCTATTGACACCATGAAACTGCTCGTAATCCGTTGGGTACAAAGTCTACAGTCCAAATAGTGAATTCCCCTGCCTTTTGTTGACGTCACTTTTCCGTGTTGCCAGTAGACTTCCGCTCATCTTCGTGAAAACAATATTTTGGCCCAATATTTAGGTTACTATTTTAGCGATGTTTGTTAGCGTATTTAGCCAGTTTTCAGGCCGATCAGGGACTTGGAAGAAAACACCGGAGTACCATTTAAGGCCCAGCCACATGGACGCGTTTCGCCGGGGTCCGCGTCTCTCCGCGTCAGCGACACCTGACGAGAGTAAGGCCGACCAACCTCATGGGGAAGCACGCTATACCGCGTCTGTCCGTCCCTGCCCAAAGTCGCCAGATCGACTAGGCCTAAATCATCGGACAACCAACAGCAGCCACCAGTACAGTGCATTAGTGTTGCAAAATGTTTATTTAGAGCTTAGAAACCTTCCGGCTCAAGTTTACGCCGCAAGATAATTTACCTGTCAATCCCGATGCTGTCGTACACCTCGCTGCGCGCCTGGCCCCAACTTCTGCCACGCGTGACTCTTATTGGTCGCTGCCTGTCAAGCCACTTCCGACGCTAAGTCGAGATCTGGCCGAGGCATACATCGGCGCCGCGCGCGCGTCACATTGTTGTATGTGGTTTCGATCGACGCGCTCGTATACGCTGGGAGATGCCGAGGTGGGTGAGGCGTTTGAGGCGTTGGAAAAATGTTGCTGGAGCTTTACACGCGAGTGTTCTCGCACGCTTCCAGTGACGTACCGCGGGAGCGGAGGGGATCGAGTGGCCGTGGTAGGTACGTAAAACTGAGGCTCGGCCGCGACCACGTCGTTTGTGCGAAACCGCCGACACACAGTGAGGGAAAGGTTGGTTACTTGAAAGCAACAGTAAACGGCGGAGAGTAAGGAAAACTGCGGTGGCTGTACCCGAAACCGCCTTCTCCGAGTCGGAACCCCTGCACTAAACGCTACCACATTTCGTCGAGAATCGGCGTAGCAACAGCAGCAATTTCGACATTTTTCTTCCGTACTCGTCATGGTAGTGACGATTTTATCTGACCGTTATTGGTTTTTTTAATTATCAGGTAAAAAATATTAGCAACAAAATGGCGTATTCAAGAGTATACACCCCATACTAAAATGTATCCGTGGTTGTTTTCAAGTGACCGGTAGTCATCACGCAAAATTATTCTGCGCAAACCAAACTCGGCAAAGGTCGAATTTCCGCACACGTGGTCATTAAAGCTTATCCTTTAACCCGGCCTTTAATACTTCCTCGCAGATCGATGACGAGCAATTCCAGAAGATCCTGGGTCTGATCGAATCTGGCAAGAAGGAGGGTGCCAAAGTCGAGATCGGCGGGAACCGGATTGGCAACGAGGGCTACTTCGTCGAGCCCACGGTGTTCAGCAACGTCACCGACGACATGCGGATTGCCAAGGAAGAGATCTTCGGTCCGGTCCAGCAGATCATGAAGTTCAAGACAATGGAAGAGGTGCTCCGCAGGGCCAACGACACCACGTACGGCCTGGCCGCGGGCGTCGTCACTAAGGACCTGAACACCGCCATCACCTTCGCCAACGGAGTGCAGGCCGGCACCGTGTGGTGGGTCGTCTCTCTAACCCGGGGCGCAGGCACGGCCTCCCACTCTAATATCGGCGCTTATCCTTCCCATAAATCATACAAAGGACTCTGTGTTCCATGCAGAAATGATAGGAGTTATCTGTGGTCATGTCTCAAGCATGCTAAAAGAATGTTTCGAACTTGTCTTCAGACAGTCTTGTTGTACGATGTATTAGCAATGTCGTCGCAGATTTAAACGTCTCGGTCGACTACTTTCCTGCAAAGCACTCTGGAGACCCAATTGCTGCCGTCTGCGCAGGGAGCTCGCAGGAAACACTTCGTTCGGCTGCTAGTCAGAGCGGCGGGTGGCCAATGAAGTCCATGTCCCCAAACGAATGGACACGAGAGCTGCGCGTTACAGTTCGGCGGGGCCCTCGGACGTTCGAGTTCCTGTTCTGGTCCAACGATCGCGGCCGCGAACCGTCTGGGAGTTGCGAAAATTCTGCGTCAGATTACGATGCCTGTCAAAGCAAACTTCGTTGCCCGCTTGGTATGTAATACATGGCGGATAACGAGACGAGACCCCCCATTCCTAGAAATGTGTCCCTCCGTGCGTCCTCATGACCACGCATGCCCCAGGCACGGGATGTCAACGATACCTTCACGTGACCTATCGTCAAGTTACGCTATGGTGTCAAGTCGTGCCACGCGGCTTCGTGTCACGTGGCACAGTGATTCATCACACCGTGAAAGAGCGTGAATTGACGTCTCGTCGGGCCACGTGATGTCAGTTAATATCTTCTGATGAGTTTAACCGGCATGTTGGGTTAATACTGATACCAAGAAAGCAAAACACAAACAGAAGACAGACAGACATGTACAAGCTCTTTCAACAAAACACGAGGGCTTAAACAGGATGAGTTTACCCGAGACGCGGGTTTTCTGAAGGACAACAGATACACGGACAAGTTCACTCCCCAATATGACTGTTTAATGTCTTTCAAGCGTATTTATACAATCGCTCCTTCAAAACTGCATAGCATGCATCATGCCACTTTGGAGATAAAGGACGCTGCAGTATTTATTTATTTCTATCATTTTTGTTAGCGTCGCTCTTAAATTCCAGCTTCAAACGCGTTGTCACTGGTCTCAATCTTTCATTTTTGTCTGTTCTACGTCTATGTGCGTGTTTGTTTTGGAATCAAGCTCGCTAATAATAGCTCGTAAAGACCGTTAACAAAAATAGAGTGAAGACGTGTGGTGGCATTTTTATGGCTAGCTAAATCGAAGCTAAATTTATATAATCGCTAGTATAAAGCACAACCATTTTCAATAAAATACTCTTCGAATTTTCGTAATTTCATCTTCTAAAACGTTTTACTTTTGTTTGGAAAGCAATTACGGGCTCGCAACTTCGTTAAAACTTAACGTACGTTTAACCGGGTTTCTAAAAGATATTAAATTATGGAAGGCAATGAAAATAGACATTAGGCAATCAGATTTTCTCCGTCGCGCCTGCATTGATGAATTATGCGTGACTTTATTCCTCTAAATATCCCGAACCTGACAAAACTAGCTGCACTGAGTAAAGCAGCTGTTGCTAGCTGTGGTCCGCAGGTGTGTTTTCGAAAAAAAAGCAGCCACTTTTCTCGATCAACGTATTTAGTTTCGTGCATTGCGACTCTATATTACATTAAGCGCTAAAACATGTACTTAGCACGTCAAAAAAAAAAAAAGATTTATTCTTGGTTTTATTATTTAGGTCACAAAATGAACTCGGCACATGTTCGTTCTTTATTTTTCGCTTTTATGGTTTCCGCCATAAACCCGACCACACTGTAGCAAGTTTAAAAATTCGCAAACACAAATTAACAAAAGAAACTAAAATTTCAAAGACTCCCACTTTTATTTTTATTTATTTATTTCAAAAGAAAAAAAAACACAATTATACAGCCCGCAACACAGCTACAAAACCCTGATGTCTTGCATTTGTTTCATTTGGTTTGTTAAGTGGGTGCCGGACATGCGCACATTCTTATACTATAGCAAAGTAGAAATTTGGGCTAGTTGGTTCATGATCAGTATATACAGCGCCAAAATACTATAGCCAAAATACTATAGCTACCGAAGGCTTAACACCCATATTAGCCGGGCACGCTCAAGGTCTTCAAAACGCAGACACGTTTTAAAGTATCGGCGAATCGACTCGTGATCTCGCGCCTTATTTCGACGTGCGCTTCTTACGTCTGAAAGGGGTTTGAAAAATCGGGACGTGGCGAGTTCTGCTCATCTTATCTTCGCTCCCCAGCGAAAGAGTTTGCAGAATTAGCTGAAAGTCAATAACAACTCTGAAGGCCGAATCACAAAGCAAAAAGCCCAAACATAATCACTTTATTTTTTCCTCCCGTCTGGTAAGACACACCCTGCGTGTCTTTAAGTGTTCAGTATTCATAGCGTTTTACCAATTATTGTTAGATTGCACTGCTTGACCGCCTATTGTTGATTTGTTACATTAGATGAGATAACTCTCAGTTACATTTATTGATGCGGTTTTAAAAATACACGCATTAATACAGATCCTCTTTTCTAAGAGCCCTTATCCGCCTGATTTGGACATTAAATTATGTTTGTTATTTTTCTGTCTCAGGGTTAACACCTACCTGGCTGCCACCGTGCAAGCACCCTTCGGAGGCTACAAGCAGTCTGGACTCGGTCGTGAATGGTGAGGGTTTCTTTCTTATTATTCATGTGCGAATTTGGCTATTCAAAAGTGTGAGCTCAGGTTACGCAAGACGCTGATACAAATATGTTTTCACTACATGTTTAATTATTTCTGTTCTACAGCGGAGAGGACGGCATCAAAAACTACCTGGAAGTTAAGACCGTAAGTACAATTTCTATACGTAAGATGTGACGCACACGTCTAACACACTAGGGCAGTAATTACGTGTATAATCAATGCGGAAGCGCTGTCACGGATTACGCTTCTTTATTCTAGCCACTACGTCTCTACTTCACTTTCCCATATTTCTAACGTATGACCGTAAAAAAAATAATCATCGTGACGACTATAATTCTTTCAGCGCTAAGTAAATATTTATTCTCAAGCTGAATATTTAAATTCGTGTTTCTTATTTTAATTCCTTACTTTTTTAAACCAATGGTCACCTTAACTTGTTGCTGCACCAAAAATACTCTTAGTGCAAACCGCCATCGTATACATCATAAGGTTAGTCTCATTTGTTAATACGAATAAAAAGTAAGTTTTTAATCTACGCATAATAAATTCTAACTTGTGCTTCGCGTGTTGATTGGTATGCACATGACAACTCTCTCTCTCTACCGATTTATCCTTCAGGTTACAATCAAGATCCCCCAGAAGCACTCGTAAAGGAACGCCGATGCCTCAAGAACTCTCACGGGGTGTTTCCCAGAGAGCACCGTTTTTCTAAACCGTATTTTGTTACTAGACGCCAAATAAAACCAGTCGTTTGTATTTTTATCGTCATTCGTCTGAGTCATCATAATTTATTTCGATGCTTTTCCAATTACGATGCCAACTAATACGTTCACCGTTTACGCCCTTAAAAAAACTAACTTTACTTTACTGCAGAACACGAAGACAAGGACAGAACCAATCACAGCGAACCATAGAAGGATCTTAGCTAATGGAAAAACTCTGAATAGGATTATACAATGAGCATGGCGTTTCACTTTCGAATAAACCCTTTTCAAAAGTGCGCGCCAACGCCTGTCCGTCATTGCTTGATCACATACTTTGAGCATGTATTGGCCACGAGCGCTGAGCCATTGTTCGGCATGCACTCGTATCCAATTACGCGCTTTGGGTCAATGGATGGGTGGATGTTGATACGCGCTCTGGGTCAATGAATGGATGGATGGATGTTGATGGCTGTTCATTACTATACCCTTCGTAACGAGCGGTAGCTTGCGAAGTCTTGAAATGGCGTATAAGCAATAACGACCGCCAATGTTGCTCGATGGATTTTTGTAAAATGCATCGAGCATTTTACAAAATGTGCACATTGTATTTTTGAGATCTGATCGTAATCTATGTTTCGTATCGTATTCTGATCGTATCCATTGTTGCTGTTTTGTCTTCTGCGTTAACGTGTAATTTCCTTAGTTATATTTTTCCAGAAGTACGACAACCATAGGGTAAGTGGGGTAAAATGAGACACGGGGAAAAATCAGATGGTTTGTGTTTAGCGCCATCTACTGATCTCTATGGCAATTGCTGGATCGCGCTTCCCCGCTTGTTCGCTGCAGCGCGAGTGAAGCCACCGGACGGCCATCTTGCTCGTAGACGATTTGCGGTTTTGCTAGCGTTCCAGAGGCTGGCGGCAGCGCGCTGTAGTCACGTTTTCTACTCGTTCGTCATTCATTCCCACCATAGAACGCTTCGCTGGTCTTCCTTCTTCACCAGAGTGGAAAGGCTGAACGTTTTTAATATGCAGCTGGCAGAAAAGTCGCCCGTTGAGGAAGACTAAGTTCTGGGCTGTATAAACATACATACACCCTCAGTTTTCGGCTAACGGTCCCCCATACGCATTTGGCTTAGCCTAGAGCCACTAAATAAGCTACGCTTAGAGTATAGGCACTCTTTTCCCCGATATTGCTGTGTGCGCCGCCATCTTTGTCCTTGGTACAAAGCAGACGCAACTGCCAATCGTCATGATTCAAATGAGCGACTTCTTCAGCATTAGTTTCGGTGTTGGGAAGCTGATGTAATATATTGCTTTGCTTTGTCACTAACTGTTCAAACATTTGTGGAGGACGGAAAAGCGTATCCTGTGATTTAAGATACAGCTTCTGATTACTGATAACCATCATTTTAAGCACCAAGATGTGTATTAAGCGTAGCTTAATTAGTTGCTCTAGTTTAGCCCGACCGCACAGGCACACAAAGAGAACGAACTGCTTGACCTTGCGCTCTTGGCGCTGCTTCAGTGGCTTCATCAGCCCGTAGCGTTGGCTGCACTCTGGACTAAGGTAAAGCGAAGCAAATATTCAGATCTTAGGTTATTACATGCCACACCAACAAAAATCATCTGACACGCTTCCGCCAAAAAAAAACTTTGGTTTATTCCGATTGACTGGAGATCTTTTGACGTGCAACTAAATCTCAGATTGTCCTCCGTCAGATTGTGGGCACCTCGGTCAGTATTCAAACCCGACAAGTAGGGGTTTATAGGCCAAAGCGTTGGCTCAAAGCCACTGAGACGTTTTAACATGTTGTGTCTTGTTTTAATATAATTCCCACTTAAAAGTCACCGAGGGGGTTGTGGACCAAAATATAGTGGAACCGTTCTGACAAGCAGTGCTCGATTTCGAAAATGATTTCTGCAATAGACCGATCTCACCAGCCAGTTTGATTACGCCACCGCTTCCGCAATTCATCGAGGGAACTTTAGTCTTTCTGCACGTGCGACAACCTCGCTGGAGCTCCGCGCGAGTGGAGCGCGAGATGGTACGAGCCCTCGCTTGCACGGCCGTCCGCCTCCTGTGAACTAAAGCATTGCCTCCTCAATCCTCACAAAGTCTGGCAGTTCGACGATGTACCCATAGAGCGCCCGGTCGCAGATTTGGAGCACGAGGATCTGGTAGCACAGAGCATCAAAAAATAAACTTCTCGGGGAACCTGGGCGTCAGCGCACAGCTTTTGCAGCGGCCGGGACCCGAAACACACTTCTTCGCTTGGGAGAAGTGTGTTTCGGCGTCTCGCCGCAGCGGGGCGCCAGTAACGTTGCTCTCCTCTCATCCGTTGTCTGCCGCTCTACCATTTTTCATTTTGGCGGCCGCTTCTCTTGGAGATCTGCCAGGCTTTGTCAGTATATAGGAGGCTATGACTAAAGTTATGGCGGCGTCACGCATGCACCGAACGCTTAGTGAGATAGGTCTCTTGATGAAAACATGCTATTGTTTTTGCAGCTGGCGGAATCGTTTTCATGGCAGCCATTTCATTTGGATCGCGCCAGGCATGTGTACGAACGCACAATATAGAACGCGCGCAAAAGCAGCTGTGGTACACCCGCAGCCTCGCGCATGTTGTTCTACAACATCTCTGGCTCGCTCACTGAGGGCATTCAGGCATCTGACACCCTAACGTTTGGCGCTTTTTCTGTCTTTCACGTAGCGTTCCGAGCGGCACACGACGGCGAATGCCTATCAAGCTATTGTTGAACACGTGTCGCCATCTGTATTTTATATTAAGAAACTACAACTTGCCGTAACTGAACTGGAAAAGTTTGAAGCCTACTAACATTCTCCGCGTGTAATACATCAAAATGGAAGCTCTGGGAAATCTAATATTAAAGGATGCTTCGTAATTTAATGCCTCGTAATTGTGATTAGTTGACGTGATTCAGTTTTTTAAAACACAATGAAACATTACCAACTTAAGGGGCAACTCCGGTCCATACTTTCGATTTTGGGATTATGGCTGTTTTTAGTGCAGTTAGCGCCCCTGAGTTGCAAGGTGTACTTTTTTTCTCGTTATTGTGCGTAGTTTTAAAGATATCGACGTCTCAAAGTTTTGTTTGGGGCGCGGCCGACAAAACCGAAACTAGCCGCTCGAGGTTCCGGCAACACTGGAAATCAGCCGCTATGTGGACGTGACGCCAAGATCGTTCTCGTTCAGCGAGTACGCAGTCCAAGCGGCACCTACCTCTGTTGCGCTAGTCGTCTAAACATAGAATGTAAACTGATTTTGTTTTAATTCTGTATACGTGGTAGTTATCCAGCATATGTAGCAAGAGTTAGTGCGTATACCCAAAAGCTAGCGACTGGAAAACCCGTCAACTCGTTCGGTGGCGTACTCGGCGGCCGCCGCCGCGCGTGCGTTATGCCGTGCCGTACTCGTTGCTTGTATACCCAAAAGCTAGCGACTGGAAAACGAGTGAACTCGTTCGGTGCCGTACTCGGCAGCTGTCGGCGTGCGTGCGGTCTCCCGCACCCGTCGCTAGGCCTAAATTGTCATCGGGGCTCCGTGGATGGAGCGGCGTTGCTCTACGCCGCGCTGCCAGTGACGTACAGTGCTGGCGCTTTCGCGCGGCGGGTCAGTCCCAGACACGAAGCTTTGAGGCTCTCCGGCGCGTTCCGCAACAACCGAACAGACGTGTGTCGAGCTGCAGACGTCTGTTTTTTCGTTATTTTTTTCTCAGGAGCGTAAAAGCCGAATTTGTAAGCTACGACACTAATTCACCACATAAGTTCGTCCAGGTAGTGAATCTTTGTACAAATAAAAAAAACTTGCCGCACTAAAAAGAAAAAAAGTTCTTTGGGCAGTTATTTTCTTCTCAAAGCTAGCAAAAGTTTTTGTGGGTGATAAAGGAAAACAGAGAACGTTAGCAAGGTGAGAACATTTTCTTTCCCTTCCGCATTCCCACCCCCACCCACAACAATTTTTTTTTATTAGAATACATAGGATTTTAAGCTTTCCTTCGTAACTTTTGACTAAAGCAAGTGTTTTTCTTTTTTTTTTTGCATTTTTAAATATTATATTTACCTCCAGCCGAACTCGGGCAAATTAGAGAGTTGTAACTTACAAATCCGAACTTTCGCGATTTCTTTTAAGTCCCTTGTGGTATTCACAAGCGCAATGTTAATTAATACTGCTGCGTAACGGGTTCGAACGATTGGGAGGCGAATGTTTATATCGCATGAGCTTCACGCGCCGGCCGTTCGCTAGTAGTCGTTACGGACCTGAATACTACGCATGAGATTGCGTAGTAAACAAGCAGTGACGCAAAGCAGAACATTGTTTTCGTTTTCATTACAAACTTCAGCGTTTGGAGCTAGTTAGTGGTTGTACTCTACATGCCCACCATTCCCCATGAATGCTCAATCTTCAACACTGCACTTGACATTGACTGTTTTATTTATTGATCAGGATACTCTTATCATGTTTACCTTTTCGGTACATGTACGATGGGCAAAGAGCGACGGCACGGCATCCTTTTTAAGCCTCGACCCCTTCGCTGACAAGCCACAAACAACCAACACCCGTAGGTTTCGTTCGTAACTCTCCGGCGAAAAATGATCGGAGCAGAGCTTCGATCTGGGAGTCGACGTCCAAGGCTTTCCAAAGTCCACTCGTCGAACAGCGTTCACCCACACCTTCTCCAATTTCCGCTCCGTTGGAAACTTGTGAAAAAGCACCTCCGGGTTGCGCAGCGGCTTGTTTGAGCAGCCCACAGCGCTTTAAGTTGTACTCGGCATCTTTCGAGGAACAGCTGGGCAGTCTTGGACGCACCTAGGAGACCTCGCAAGCAAATAAACAAAAGGCTATACGGAAGCTACACGGGCTACAAGTAAAAGCAACGACTAAACGCGCAATAACAAGCCGAAGTAGCGGTGGTAGCGGCACAAAGAAGCGCACGCGACGGCTACGCCGTGCTCCCGTCCGGAACGGAGGAAAAAAAGAGAACGATGTTGACATCACGGCCCAATGTTGCTTTAGCGATCGGCAACCCGCTGGCCGCCCGCTAAGGAGCAGCGGCTCGCGGCGGGTCGCGTTTTTAATATCGGCATTAGTTGAGAATGCGGCGTCGCACGGACGTGAAATTTTGGCTGGGGTCGTATTTTGTGTCACTAAAGCGATACCAGTAATTTTATTCATTTTGAGCTTTGGCCGGAGTTGCCCTTTAAACTTCATTTTTTTTATTTTAAAATATACATTACCTGCACAGTTCGTTGCTTACATTTTTAATGCATTATATCCAACCGAACGTTTACGTAAATTATCGTGGACGATGGGACGTTATAACCTTAGAGTTATTACAATAAACGCTAGAGGTTCATTTGGCGTTAGTGTGCTTTTGCATTTTGAAGCAGACAGTAACCAGACTGAATTTGACTTCCGGTAATGCATTCCAATGGGAAAACGCAAATGCATTTTCTCCTCGCTCTCGATTATAAGGACAAATATTGCTCAATGTTGTGAGAATAAAAAATTTTGAACGCTTTACAATTGGATGTACAAAAATATGTGTCCGTTACAGCGTTTTCCTATACAATTCGTGGCGCCGAACACTGCGCTAAAATTATTATACGGCGGCGTATTTAGGGATATAGTCAATGCTATGCAGCACACAGAGTGAATCAGCTTGACAGAACACCAAAAGGATGCTGATATATGCCAAATCAAACAATCAAAAAGACGACAAGAACGAAGCATGGAGTTAGGGAACCAAGAACACGTCCTGGATTAGAAACAAACTGTGTATTAGTAGCATACTGCGTTTCTGTCATCTGAATGCTATTACAGCTTGAATACACCCTACGCACTTTTTAATTGTTGGTGCTGCTCGAATTGATAGCTTTTATCGATATGTCATGCTAAACAACATAGACCTGGGCCTCAATTTTCGCTAACTTAAATATCGGTCAGTAATTAAAAAACGAAATAACTAAATAAATTACACTTTTATGATGTGAATGAAGTAACATAGTGCCCGTTATGGGTAAAGAAACTACGCTGATAATTTCTATTATTCCCTGGTGAAGAAACAAATATCACGTACGTTTTCTCATAAGAATATACATGAAGACGGGAAAAATAGACTGGTTGCTGTCTGCTTCAATTTGCAACCGGAAGTCCCGTACACTCTAGCGCCAGCTGAGCCTACTGTAATAACTCTATGGTTAAAACTCAAGAAATCATTCTTTTCAATATTAGAGACTCTGGTCTATTAAAATCTAAATAGTAAACTAACAACTAAAAATAATTGCAATATTGAGGTATTAAAATATACTTAAATGACAGTTTTTTTGTAGTTTTTCTTTAATTTGACATTAACTTTATGATTGTGGGATACATTAAACAAAAGTTATATTCGCTTTCCGGCAGCTGTGCTTGAACGCCGCCATAACCAACCTTCACTTTTTTGTTTCCTCTTATTCCTTTAGCTTCACTTCATCATTGCCACAGCAGGAGAGGTTATTGCCACTTTAGGCGCTATCGCGTCCATCTCCCCCGCATAGGCCTTTGTGGAGGCTCGTCAACGCCCGCCTCAGGGACTCGGCATCTCGGTGAGAAAGGAGAAGGTTGGCCATGGTGGCTCAATCTGGCGTGTGTTTAAAGCGTCTTGTAGACGCTTTAAACACACGCCAAGTAGTAGTATAGACGCTTTAAGCATTGAGAACCCTGAGAGCGGTGACGTGGTTCATGATTCGTTTATCGTCAACTTCCTCACCTGTGAGGTATGAGAAAATTTTCTACTGACAGCTAATGCGAGTAACGGCGGGTCGATTTAGAAGTAAGCTTTTATTTGGCATCGTTTTTTTTTTTTTTTTTTTTTTTTCCTGCCGCCAAGTTTGTACGATTTCATCATTCTTTTCTAGTTTTCTTTATAAAAAATCTAAACTGCTCGACTGTTTTCAATTTTTGACGTGTAAATGCGAAGAGAAGTTCGTTTTGCGTTCGCTGGTAAATAAAAAGTTCGCTTTTTTTTTAGGCCCAGATTTGACGAATGGGATCGTTAACTGGAAGTTTGAATCACAATGTGCCGATCCCACCCAGTCAACGGTCACTACAGTATCAAATTTTATAAGATTGAGGTTTACTTCTTCAGAAGAATTCTGTCCACGTGTCTTTGAAAATAATTACGAACGTAACAAACCCTCAAAAAGAGGCCAAAGCACTATGCACGGTGGGGTCGCACCTTAAAGCTAAGCCGGTGACTACCTGTCGCAAGCAAGAATAAGTACACTTAGGGTGCCTTCATGTGCGCTTTGATTAGGATGCAGACATCTGGCCATTTTGTCCCACACGTTTATTTTTATTTTTTGTTCAGAAGCGCGTGAAACAGCGTGTCCCTGCACGCGTTTTTGGCGCTGACTGTGCTATGGCGACATTTTGTTTTCGTCAATTTCTTTGTATTTTACCCCTGAGCACGTGCTGTCGGCATCGGGTACTACAAAGGGTGGCATCACCCTTAACAGAGGGACATTGAGGCACCATAAGTAAACGCTTCTGTGCAAATGAATAACGTATTAGGGTAGCAGAAGCTGCAAGAGCGAGCTTTGTAATTTCAACGTCCCTTCCGAGCACGCGCACTCGTGTAGAGCAAGCAGTTAAAGGGAACACGTTCGTACTTGCGATTTCGGCTTCGCTTGCGCGTGAATTAAAACAAACTGATATTTATTTACCTGGAAAGCACGTTCTATCTCCGCGAGAAATCTTGATTATCTTGATTTACTAAACTTTAGCAATGCCTTATAGATTTCAACATCACACGTTAAGTAGGCTGTGGCAGAAAAATTACTCCAGGAAGATATCCGAATCAATGCATTAAAAACAAACGGATGGTTTAGTCTGGCCAATAGGCCGACATTGTCCGAACTCCCAATAGGAAAAAAGAATAATTAAAATAATATAAGGGAATGCTGTAAATAATATATAAAATACTGTGGTCCTTTGCAAAGCGGGCAGGCCCCAATCTCCCCAGGCAGCAAGAACAACGACGCTGCGTGCCCGAGCACCCGCTTCGCGCCCAGCTCGTGCCATTCGATTGTACCAACCCCGGAGCCTCGGACGGTTCTCAGCAGCTCCGCGTCCATCCGAGCCGGGACCCATGAGCGCCTGTCAGCGCTACTTGACGGGCTTCCCCTTCGTGGGGGAGTACACGAGCATCGAGTTCCAGGAAGAGGTGCCCATCTACCGCATCTGCTCGCTGTGTGGCGCCGTGCCCTCGGAGCTCTTTCTCACCAAGTGCTCGCACTTCTTCTGCCCAAAGTGCTTCTCAAAGCTCAAGGACGAAGACGGGTTCACCTGTCCCGTGGACAACACCAAGAGCCTGCCGGACCAGGTCTACCATGACACCACGTCCGCGAACATCCTGCAGGGCTTCCGCGTGGCCTGCCCCAACAAGTCCAACGGCTGCGAATACGTGGGGCCGCTAAACAACCTCAAGGAACACGTGAGCTCTTGCGGCTACCACGGCGTTCAGTGCGGCATCTGCATGAAGGAGCTGAAGCACCAGGACGTAGCGGCCCATCTGAAGATGGAGTGCCAGCGCAGCATGCAGCCGCAGCAGGCTCCGCAGCAAGAGGCCGGAGAAGGCTCCGCCGTGGCAGTCTACCCAAGGGAGGACGGCGCCATGTACACCGGAGCCGAAGCCTGTCAGATCAGCGAAGTACGTGAGAAGCTGGACGACGTGTGTCGCGAGGTCAAGTCGCTCAAGGACAGTTTTGCAGAGTTCGACGTCATCCGAAGCACGGTCAATGCGGTCCAGGATACGGTCAAGATCGAGATGAAAAAGATGCGCGAGGATTCTGCCATCGCCAACAAGCGAATTGTTACGAAGATCGAGAAGATCCAGAGCTATCTGAAGGGAAGGATCGACAGCATCGAGGACCGCTTCCGCTCGAGCAAGTTCGTCTGGCACATCAAGAACTTTTCCAAACTGAAGGAGCAGGTGATGGATGGGAAAGCCAAGTCCTTCTTCAGCGACGACTTCTACGTGGGCATCCAGGGCTATAAGATGTACCTCGGCGGGCACTTCGCCGAGAAGGACGACAAGGGCAAGACGTGTCTCAGCGTGTACGTGTACATCACCAAAGGGCCCTACGACCCCACGCTGGAATGGCCGTACAAGAGGAGGAGCACCTTCGTCATCGTTGACCAGAAGAGCAACACGTACCACAAGATTGCTGAAATTGTGCCCGAGGAGTTGGGCATCGACCTGGAGCACTGCTTCCAGAGACCCAAGGATGGCGAGAACGAAGGCATCGGCTATACGGCCATCATGAGTCTGGAGGACATCGAGAACCCGGAGAACGGTTACGTAGTTCATGACTCATTTGTCATCAACTTCATCACCTGTGAGGTGTGAGCAAATTTTCTGCAGACACCTAGTGCGAGTAACGGCGGGTCAATTTAGAAGTAAGCTTTTATTTGGCATCGTTTTGTTTTTTCTGCCGCGAAGTACGTACGATTTGATCATTCCTTTCTAGTTTTCTCTTTCAAAAATTTCAACTGCTCTACTGTTTTCACTTTTTGACTCGTAAGTGTGAAGAGTTGTTCCTTTTGCGTTCGGTGGCAAATAAAGAGTTCGCTTTTTTAAGGCCCAGATTTCACGAATGCCATCGTTAACTGGAAGTTTGGATCACAATGTGCCGATCCCACCCAGCCAACGGTAACTGCAGTATCAAATTTTATAAATTTAGGTTTACTTCAAAAGAATTCTGTCCGCGTGCTATTCTTTGAAAATAACCACGGAAATACAAATCTTTAGTTCTCCCATTTTTGCAGACAACTATACTTTGTTTCACCTTATGTTGCACCGCAGCGAAGGTTAGAAGCGCGAGCTCATTGCGTTGGCAGCCGCACTTAAGTCACGAGAGCTTGTGCCGCCGAGATGTGTCCCAGAGCTCGGGGCTCGCGCTTGTAGCCTTTCCTGCGGTGCATCATGAGGTGAAACAGAGTAAATATGTGGATATTCAAAAGAATTCAGCAAAGAGAGTGCGTGCATAGCTTTGGCGAGAATCCGTACGCTCATAGCTTTGACCTATCCCGACTAGAGTCAGCTAGAGATACTAGTAAGCTACGCTTTAGAGTAATGACACTTCAGCCCTCTTGGTGCTTAAAATCATGGTTACCTGATGTCGGAAGTTTTATCTAAAATCGCAGGTATCGCTTTTCCGTCCCATAGAAATGTTAAAGAAGTTCGCGACAGAGCAAAACAATATCACCTGAACTTCCTAAGACCGTACCTAAAGCTGGGGAAGTCGCATTTTTGAGTTGTGGCGACCGACAGTTGCATCGGCTCTGTGCTAAGTGCCAAGATGGCAGCGCCAGCTAGCATATCGAATAACAGAGTGAGCTCATTTTGTGGCTCTTGAGTCAGCTATTCGCCGGCTCTAGCTTTGACTGCATATTTTTGCCAGCTATCATCATCATACCATTAGGAGCCCCCATACATAGCCTCCTTTATACTGATAATGCCTGCCCAATGTAACGAGGTAGAGGGGCTTAGAGTGATAAACCGGAAGTTCGAAAGTGGCACCCCCCCCCGGTTGCCGCCATGTTGTACGCAAAAGTGACCACTCGTCACGTGACCTCACAACCGTGACGTCATTGGTAAGATGGCAGCGCCCAGAGCTGGCGGATGCGAGTTTGTTCGGTGCGTGGTAGCCGTGATGTGCCGCTGCTTTCCGACGACTTCGGGCTTCTTCGTGCTCGCTGACGCAGGTATAATGTGAAAATATGAAGGAATGAGACTGCAATGATGTCATCAATACGGCGACAAAAAGAGGAAGAAAATGGGAGGATACTAACGGAGAAAAGGGGAAGACAAAAAAGTCGAGGAGAACGAGGAGAGTCAGGGCGGAGGGCGGACGCATTCGGAAAAGCTTGGCTCCCGAATACACTGGCGAAGCTGTCATCCTCCGAAGTCTGCCGACCTGTCCTCACCGTCAACACTGAACGGCAAGCCTGGCTCCCGCTCAAGAGCGAACCGGCAAAGCCATCCCAACAACAGGTTGACTGGTCACCATCGGTACGCCGGCAGCCAAACGAGACCGGCGTCTGCCACGGGGGGGGGGGGGGGGGGGGGGGGGGGGGGGGGGTGCGTTTAGAATTAGCGTAAACCAGTGCCAACCTCGGCAAGTCGAACTTTGGATGTACGCCCTTTTATATATTTATTAATAAGTTTCCTTTTTTTTTTTCCTTACGTGGATTCGGAAAGAAGAACAACTTGGTGCAAATATATTTCTTCGATATCAAAGATCAGACGGACCTCTTAGTTTCCTTTCTTTTTACCATAAAGAACCTGACAGAGACTTTATATGCTTTTTGTGCAAGGTCGCTCTGGATCATCTGGATATTAACACCCGTGAGACAGCATCAGCCGTATCGCCGTACCGGTGCTCGGATTCCCGGATGTGTTCGAGTATCGAAAGAACTTTGAGTGCTTTAGCATTAAATTTTCGCATTCTCTTAGCTTTGTTTGGACGTTAAATGTCTGAGAGTCGACGTGAAATGTATGCGTCGGACTTAGGGCCTAGGGGAATTTGTTTCACCCTGAGTAACCGCATAATCGCAGTAACCTCTAGCGAGGAAGCTCCTGCGATCTTTACGTTTTGTACTAAATCTAATGAACAATTTTACGATATATCTTTTAGCATAAAATATTCACATTTTTATAGCTTCGTTTGAATGTTAAAATGCCTGAGAATCGACATTCACAAATTATTGTGGCCCTCAAAAGGGCCGTTGTTCCACATGCTCCACACTGGGATAGTGCACGTTATTCAAGTTCCTCGATGACTTTGAGATGTGCACTGGATTTGTCGGAGGACAAGGTGTCTCCAATAGTGAAGACCAGAGGCTCAATGTCACTGTCGATGATCATGCCCCGCTCCCATGCTTGATCTTCAACACGCTCAATGTGAGTACAACCGTTTTGTCAGTCTTTTTGGGTGACAGATGCCAGTGCTTCTGGCAGGATACGCTCTATTTCTTGCAGCGTAAAAAAACTTGTTCTTGCTCGCGACGTAGCCTTTCACCTTGATCCATACCAGCTCAATAAGGTTGAATTCGCAATTATACGGACGCAGTCGCAATACTTTGTGGCCGTGGGTAGCCGCCAGGGTGTCAATCAGGTATAGAGTGCCGGGTGCGTTGACCTTCTTAAAAAGCTCGAGGAGTACAGCTCCGAGTGTCAGCTTTCCGCGTCGACGACGTAGAAGCTTTTTCCAGAGCGACAATGTGATATGGTGCAATGTCCATTACTATGATGCTGGGGGGGGGGGGGGGGGGGGGGGGGATTATGGGTAGGAGCTGGCCTGAAAACCACCCTTTTAAGTATGTGCCATCAATCTCGGTGTGGTAGTCCCCAGCGTTGGCTTTCTTAGGCCTGAAGATGTCGGCAGCATCTTCGACAAAGCCTGTTTCGCTGCTACCAGCATGCACAAGAATCAGACGGCTTCCCTTGCCAAACAGCTCTGCCAGACCTGTCGTCAAGCCCCTCATGAACGCATCCTAAGAGAGATTCACAGTCTTGTCCTAAAAGACTAATTACTTTGTGTGTCCAGCATTCACCCAGGTATCATCTAGGTGGATTATAGACCTGCATGAAATGAGGTAGGTAAAAGTGAGTCCCAATATTTATGTTATTTCAAATCCCATGCTAATTCCAATATCACAATAACGTCACGCGACATAGATCATTCACTATGTCAGGCTTACACTAGCGCACAGTTACTTAACTATGGGCAGGTAAAATATAAAGTACTGTGCTAAATTTATCTTTAAATTCATGGATCTCAATTAAGGTAATCTGCGAGGTGAGCAAGCTGTTCCGCGTAGCTCAATGACGGGGATATTTAACGATTGTCAAATTATTATTAAAATTGTACAACTGCGCCATGTAAAAACAACGTACAATTTCGTTTTTTTTTTTCTTTTTTTGCAATATTGTTTAAACATTGACCGGCCGGTATAATAGCACCTTATCGCGGCGTTGAACAGCAAGAAAGTGAGGCTATGCGTGTGCCCTCTGCCACAGGCGCGTAGTCTCGCTGAGCTGCTTTTTCACGCAGCGATAAGGCGCTGGTCTACCGACCGGTCGGAGTTCGCACGATAATGGGAGTTGTAGTAGATCTTTTTTGTCCTCCGCTACGGTATCCCCGCAGAAAACGCCGCAGCTGCGCATGCGCACCGCCAGCCTTGTCTGCACAGTTCAAGGTCTTGTGGCGGATTACGGAGTGCTATCCGGGTGCTTGGTGGGCTGTGGAAACGGTCTACTACAATTCCCTATTGTTAGATTATCTGGAGGCAGTGGCGTAGTAACGGGGGGGGGGGGGGGGGGGGGGGGGCGGGGGGCTGTGGGCCCCGGGTACCAGGAGTCTCAGTCACGAGGGGGGGTGCCACTTATGGCGGCAATCCCCCCCCCGGCTCGACTGGTTCGTAGGTGGCAACGAATGTGTAGACGCATGAGGTCACCACTCTTCCATCACGAACGTGTCTGGTGCAGAGTCGCAAAACTGGCTTGGCTCGCGCAAAGTCATCGCGCACCGGCGGAAAAAACAAGCGCGGAAAGTGCGGGAGCACTCGAGAAAGAGCTGTGCCCGGGCACGCCCGAGCCAACGCCACCTAGTCTACGCCAAACACAGCGCAACACGACGCTGGCTTGCGCCGACCACGGCCGGACTGCGCCGAGACAGCAAGAGAAGGCGCCAGACGAAGAAGAAAGAAATCACACGAAGGTCTTACACGAAGGGAGTCACGGGGAGGTGGTAAACGTGTTGGGTAAACTCTCAACGTGTCGTCTCCCTCACCCCGAGGGGGAAGTGCCGAGATGAGGTGCTGGCCAAAGGCTTCTGCTCATCAAGCTCCCTCGCTCTCTGACCCCGCCGTAAGTTCTAGAAGCGCGTCGCTCGCCGTCGGGAGGCGGTCACAATGTAGTGTTCTGGCAAGTGAATTCGTAATGTGGTGACGGCGACGAGTTCACCGGTCATGATGACGAAATCGTTATGGAGATCATCCGACTACGGAGGCACCTGAAAGCCGCTGGGAAGCATCCTAATGAGACAAAAACTTGGAATGCAACACATTTTTGAAAACCGGAGACGACGGACGAAGAAGGGGACAACACACAAAACGTCTCAAACGCAGCTACTAAATTTTATTTGAACAGTCGTTTATACAAATGGGTTGCACGTGACGTCATTCAAAGGGCGCTCCGATGACCACTCGAGAGCGCTTCTGGTCAAGAGATCCAACGAGTCAAAAGGTCCAATAATGGATCAGAGTTATGACTCGTTGGATCTTTTGACTCGCCAGACCAGAGTCAAAAGATCCAATCTGGGTCAAGAGATCCAACGAGCCAAGAGATCCAACGAGTCAAAAGATCCACGAAGAGTCAAGAGGTCCAAGGAGTCAAAAGGTCCAACGAGTCAGAAGGTCCAATAGTGAATCTTTTCACGCGTTGGATCTCTTGACTCGGCAGACACGAGTCAAAGGATCCATTGTGGGTCGAGAGCTACAATTACTCGAGAACTGCCGCTTCATGTTGCAAAGGGTCGCAAAA